TCACTTACCTATTGCAACTTCCTTGCCTGCACTAAACCTGCCATCACTTACCTTCCACCACTTACCTGCCGGCATTCACCTGCCATTGCTTACCTGCAATTGTTTATACCAGTCCACACTCACCTGCCATCACTTACCTTCCATCGCTTCCCTGCCTACACTCACCTGCTATCACTTACCTATTGCAACTTACTTGCCTATATTCACCTGCCACCACTTGCCTTCCATAGCACACCTGCCTGCATTCACCTGCCATAGCTTACCTGACATTGCTTACCTGCCCACTCTCACCTGTCATCACTTGCGTTCCATCACGTATTTTCCATCGCATACCTGTCTGCATTCACCAGCCATTGCTTACCTGCCCACACTCACCTGTCATTACTTGCCTTCCATTGTGTACTTTCCATCGTATACCTGTCTGCATTCACCTGCCATTGCTTACAAGCCATTGCTTCCCTACCCACACTCACCTGCCATCACTTGCCTTCCATAGCATACCTGCCTGCACTCACCTGCTGTCACTTTCCTGCCATCTTTTGCCTGCTTGTGTTTACCTGCCTGATTTCCCTGCCTTGACTCACCTGCTGTACGTCACTTGCCTTTGCTTTCCTCTTGCAACTCCCCTGCCCGTGCTCGCCCGCCCACCCGCCCCCCTTTGCTCACCTGTTGTGACTTACCTGCGGCCACTGACCCGCCTCCTGTGTCTCCCTCCCTCCCAGCTGATTCCGCAGATCTCCTCCCTCTCCTGGTTCACCACCATTGTGCCTTTGGTCCTCGTTCTGACCATCACGGCGGTCAAGGACGCCACCGACGACTACGTGAGCAGCCTTTCCGGGGGGGAGGGGCTGCCAAGGGGCCCCGGGCTCAGTTGAGGGTCGGCTCCGGGAGTTGTAGTTTCCTCAAGTCCTTGAGGACGAGAGCCCTCGCCAAACTACAATTCCCAGGACTCCACCCATACCTCCATCCCATGGAGCCATGGCAACACACCCTGAGAATTGTCGTTTGGGGAAACTACAACTTCCTGGGATTCCCTAGCATGGCAGCTAAAGCGGTATCAAACCGTATTAAATCCACAGTGTAGATCTCCTCTTTCCCGCAGTTTCGCCACAAGAGCGACAACCAGGTGAACAACCGCCAATCGCAAGTGCTGATCAATGGGATGTGAGTATGGGTTGCGGGTTTTGAGTGATAGGAGAGGGTTGGACTGGATGGCCTTTGGGGTTCCCTTTCGACCCTGTGATTCTGTGGCCATCTGTCTGGAAGGCTTGGGTGGTGTCCCAGTGGCGGAATGGGGTTGGACTAGATGGCCTTGGGGGGTCTCTTTGAACTCTTGTGGGTCTGCGAAAGCTTGGATGGTGCTCTCCTTCATGGTGGAAAGGGGTTGGTCTGGATGACCTTTGGGGGTTCCTTCCAAGATTCTGTGGCCATCCATATAATGATAACAATAATATTTATTTATTTATGACATTTATATGCCGCCCTTCTCATCCCGAAGGGATAATAATAATATAATATAATAATTATAATAATTATTATAATAATGATAATAATAAATACAAAATGATGATGATGATGATGATAATAATAATAATAATAATAATAATAATAATAATAAACTTTATTATGGGCACTGTCCAGCACAAAATAAGAATGGTGGAATGGGATTGGTCTGGATGGCCTTTGGGGGTCCCTTCCAATGTTCTGTGGCCATTTAAATAAAGACAACAACAACAATTGTGAAGGCTTGGATGGTGCCTTCATGATGGGATGGGATTGGTCTGGATGGCCTTTGGGGGTCCCTTCCAATGTTCTGTGGCTATCTAAATAAAGACAACAACAACAATTGTGAAGGCTTGGATGGTGCCTTCATGATGGAATGGGGTTGGTCTGGATGACCTTTGAGGGTTCCTTCCAATATTCTGTGGCCATTTAAATAAAGACAACAACAACAACAATAATATTCAGGAAGGCTTGGATGGTGCCGTCCTTCATGGCAGAATGGGGTTGGTCTGGATGCCCTTTGGGGGTCCCTTCCAAGGTTCTGTGACCATCTAAATAAAGACAACAACAACAACAACAACAATTGAGAAAGCTTGGATCGTATCTTCCTTCCTTGGATGGCTTTTAGGGGTCCCTTCCAACTCTTGTGATCCAGTGGTCATCTGTCAGGAAGGCTTGGATGGTGTCTCAATGGCGGGATGGGGTTGGTCTGGATGGCCTTTGGGGGTCTCTTCCAAGTATTATATCTGGCCTGCCTCCATTCCCTCTGCAGCCTCCAGCAGGAGCAGTGGATGAACGTCCGAGTCGGGGACATCATCAAGTTGGAGAACAACCAGTTTGTGGCCGTGAGTCCGGGCAGAGGCAGAGGGACGCTGGCTGCTTTGCTTTCCCCAAAAGGCTCTAGTCCTCATGAGGCTCCCTGTGTATTCCTTCCCCTCTTAGGCCGACCTGCTCCTCCTCTCCAGCAGCGAACCCCACGGGCTCTGCTACATCGAGACCTCCGAACTGGACGGGTCAGTACTCCATCCACTTCTGCCTCCAAGGCTGGCCTTTCTACACTGCAATATGATGCAGTTTCAAACTGGATTATATCGCGGTGTAGATGGGCCGTGAGTCTCCTAGTATGACACTCATTTTGCTTTCCTGCACCAGATTTTGAAGCTGAACCTTGCACGGAAACCTCGGGGCGCATCTATACTGTAGGGTTCATTCAGTTTGGCATCACTCTAATGCTATGGAATCCTGGGAGTAGTAGTTTCACAAGGTCTGCAGCCTTCCCTGCCAAAGAGGGATTGGGGGCTCGCTAAACTACAAATCCCAGGATTCCATCACCTTGAGCTGCGAGCAGTCCAAGTGGGGTCAGGCAGCATTAAGTTTAGTTCTGTTGTAATGTTTCTCTACAGTAATATAATAATAATTATTATTATTATTGGGAGTAATAGTTTCACGAGGTCTGTAACCTTCCCTGCCAAAGAGGGATTGGGGCCTTGCTAAACTACAACTCCCAGGATTCCATCGTCTCGAGCCACAAGCAGTCCAAGTGGGTGCAGGTGGCATTACGTTTACTTCTGTTGTAGTGTTTCTGTACAGTAAAATTATTATTATTATTATTATTATTATTATTATTATTATTATTATTGGGTGTCGGGAACGCGAGAATAACCAGACGGGAGGCAGGGTGTAGAAGTGAATGATGATGATGACCTTTTATTGTTGTCTAAGCAAAGCTTATATAGGTTTTGGTGCTCTTCAGCAAAGTCTGCATAGCAACAGTGGGGGATTACATAATTGCCAAGTGATTGGTTGGACTCTTAAGGGTGAGGTAATCTACAGGTGAGGTCAGCTATAGGCGATGTCATCCTTCCTGTCTTCAAGGGTAATGTCCATATATGGTCAGTGGGGTAGGAACAGTGTATGTATCTGGGGAGTATGGCCTGTCTTTAGTCCTATGTCATGATGTCCTGTATACTTGGCCAAAATGGTGGAGCACTAGTGTCAGAGGACTGGAATCGCTATGTTCACTTGGAGGTATGGCGTGCCAATCCCTCTAGTGGTATACAGCCATTCCTGCACCTGGGGACACAATGGTTTCTTTCCTGTATAGGGGACATAATAATGTCATCGCTCCTACATCTCTCCCTTTTTTGTTTGTTTTAACAATTTGTACGTATAAAGGACATCATGTCTAGGAGAGGCTTGTAGGGGCCGTGGCTGGTAAAGCTGCCATAGGGATGGGATGTATTGAATGTAGCAGCAGCATATGATTAAACAGCCAGACAATAGTAAAGCAATTTGAGCTGTTTTTTGTAGTCGACAGGAAGTCAGGTCATATATTAGGATATCACTTTGAGGTGAGGGGGAAAGGTCAGCAGAGCGTGAGGCTAGCAAGAAGCTTATAACAATGGGATATATATCAAATGTAGCAGTAGCAGATTATTATATAGGCCATCAATAGCTGTGTAGAGTAAACAAATTAGATAATAAAAGTTTTATCAAGCAGGTACAGTGTTTTGTTTAAAATGTTAAGCTAAGTCATTAAAAAACAACATGCACAAATATATTGTTGAGATTTGAAACAACACATAGAATTGACTGGAGGGTGAATGGGATTTTGGAGGCCTTGGTGTCACGTCATTTTTTATGGGTAAATGTAGCAAGCAGGAACTCAAAGCACTTGATTTAAGAAGCCAATGACAGAGAATGTGTGATTAAACAATGTTGTCAAAAAGCAAGTTGTGTTTGTTAAAGTTCATAGGTTTATGACAGTTGAAGCAGGAATTCTTGATTCTTGGTAGGGGGTTGGACTGGATGGCCCATGAGGTCTCTTTTAACTCCTTGACTCTATGACTTTAACTCAAATCGACCCGTCACAGCAGTATCTTTGCGATGAGGGGAGCTGGGCCTTTTCACTCTGGATCTGGCAACCTGCATTAAGGGAGTAGAAGGGGGTAGGGAGAGGGAAATGCTTCTGGATCCTGGTAACGAAAGAAGAATCAGATAAAATTAAATTCAAATGATTAATGGTAAATAACACATATAGGAAGGCCATTGGAAAGCGAAAGGAGCAGGCAACAAGACCAGGGGGCTGACTCCCCCTTTTTTGTTTGTGTGTGAGAAGAAGCAGATGGTTTGTAGAGGTATGATTTGAACGGTCAGCAGTCGCATTTGGTGTGGCTATTATATGGAATGTTAAAGATGTGGGCAGAATATCGTGAACTTAGCATTGTAATATAAGGTATGTTGTAGCAAAGATGTTTATGAATGTAAAGGTATGTAAAAAAAAAAATGGTTGAGAAGAGATTTATTGGTTATAGAATGTCATGTCTCTTATTTTTTGTTATGAAAATCAGTGAGGAAAATGAGGTAAAGAGTGTAAGTGGTTGTAGTTGAAATGACTGTTGTAGTTAGGAGTTAATTAGCTGTGATATTTTATGTAGGATGGGGTGTTTATGAAACACCTGTTGATTGTATGTAGATAGTCTGTAAGTTTGTCATGAGTGAGATGCGTAGGGATGGCTTGGGGACAGAACCAAAACTGTCCGTGATGAAGAGATCAGATTAACTGAACATCTTAAGAAAACTGAGTGTGTTAAACCCAGGTCAATAATGGGAAGCCATGTTTAACCCCTAGCATTGGGATGGTATGATTTTAAAGTCTTTGGAACTGGTATAGAGTCATAAAAGGAAAAAATCAGCTCTAAACCCTTTGAGGTTTAGGTAGTAATTGAAATATATGTGGATGAGTGAGACAATGAGCAACAGTAAATCTGTTGAAGGATTTTAGTGATTGTGTAATGAAAAATGGATAATAGGTTTTGTAGTATGAGGATGAAAAGGCATGATTTTCATAGGGTTGTGTTGTGTTGTAGAGTAAGCATTTAGATAGTCATTAATCAAATAATGATTTATTATGGTCTTTGATCAGCATAGTATAGAATGGATATCGGTGTGTGAGGAAGGGAATTGTAGTTTTTAAGTATATCAGGATAACAGCAGAATGAAAGCACATTTAAAACATCTTATAATATAATCAAGCATAAATCAAAAGGTAGACAATCATGAATCAAAAAGTCATTTTAAAAGATAAAAGAAAGGGAGGAGGCATTGGTGTGTGTGTGTGTGTGTGTGTGTTTAGATCTTAAAGCCTGGCCGCTCCTGGGATGGCTTGTGGAATGTCCGGCCCCCCCGATTTGGGCAGCGTGTCTGTCGGCTCGGAAAGGGGAGAGACTCTAATGGATTTTAGTGTGTAAGGTAGATATGATGTGTGAATAAAGCAATAAATGTGTGGTTTTGAGTATCTGTTTTATGAAGTAGGTGTTTTAAACCTTTGGCTGAGATGTGGGTAACGAACAGGCGTGATTTTGTGTGTCTGTTTTTAAGAAGTGAGTGTTGATTTTAGCATGCTGTGTTTGATATGGAAGGGAGGGGAAAGTGTGGTCTCTTAGGAAAGGAAGAAGAACATTAAACAAAGCTATGATTTGTAGATTTAATAAACTCAATTTTAAAATGAATGTCTAAAGTGTCGTATGATTAACAACATAGCAAGATATGTTATCATGTAAGCATGTTTTGTCAACTAATGTTTTGTAAGAAGTGTGTTTTTGTGAAGCTGATTCATCTGTAAGTATCAGATGAAAGGTATGGAAACCAAGCATGTAATTGTTTAGGTGTGATTAATATTTAAGATTGTATGAGTTGAATGTAGTGTAATTTGAGTCTTATATATAATTGACCCTTTAAAATGAAAGGGATAAAAAGTTTTGTGTGTCAAGTTTGGTTTAGTTTTATTGTTGGTGGAGTTTAGAATGTGTTATGTTTGTGAACTATGAATCTCAGGAATTATAAGTCTTGATTGTGAAATCAACACCAACTCTATCAGTATTTAAATTGTTATGTATGGGTATGTGTATCAGATTAGATCAAGAAAATGAAAATCAATTTTAGAAAATCATATCAGACATGTATATCACAATTTATGACAGTAGTAAACTTATGGCTATGAAATAGTAATAACAACGAGTAAAATTATAACTATGAAACAATAATAGCAAAATGAAAACAATCTTAAACAATTTTTTAGTTGAGGGTCAATATAACATAAAGAACTGTCTAAAAGAATTGTAGCATGAAAAAGGTTGGGAGATCACTATTTAGATGTTGTATCGTGGTTTTTATCATATCTTAAATGAGGACTTTATATTGATCTTTGATTGTATGTTGTGTATGTATATATGACCCTGGAATTTTTGATTGAACAGAAGTTTATTCTGAAAACCATTTTGTAACAAATGTTTATTTAATGACACTATAAGTTTATCAGAGGGCATTTTTAACCATATTTATCACAGGAGCTTTATGTCTTTGTTGAATGGAAATGTTTTAATGTTATCTTTTGAAGAGAGGGGTTGTTAAACTGTCTCACCAATGATGTATTAGGAAAAGGGAGGAATCTGAGACCTAACAGAGGTCTATCCAGACGTGGTATAGGCACTGTTTATTTATGTGACACCCTCTGTAGAGGCACATGATTTTTCAGATTCTGAATCTGGGCAGCAAATGATGATATGGATGATTATTTTTTGATCAATGTCAGGCTGTTTAAGTGTTTGGATTTCGGGAGCCCACTGAGTGTATGGAAAAACAGGATCAAATGTCATTTTTGGGAGCTCTGGTTGGCCAGCTGTCTTAGTGAATGTGCCGGAGCCATAAATTAGATCTGGAATCATGGCTGTTGTGTTTTGAATGTGTTCAGTCGAGGATATAGCTTCTTCGAATCCTGCCATGTCAAGAAGGGTTGTGGTTATGTTTTCTCGGTCCTCAGCATTTTGAATGGTCTGAGGAATCATGTCTCTCAGTGGCTGGGGCTGTTTATTTTTAAGAGAAGAGGAGGGGAGATTTGGATCGGCGGTGGATGATTTAAAAGCAAAGACACATGAAGGCAAGATAGGGAGGGCTGGCTGTAATCCCGTCTCAAGCGGGGTAAAAAGAGGATTTATGATCTGAGTTGGAAGAGGCTGACTCGCGGCCGGAGCCACGGGTGGGCAATTATCTGTCACTCCTAGGAGAGTGATTGTTTCACAACATTGCTTCCACAGCAATAATTGTTGAATTGTCCCCTGGGGTTTCTCATAAAAGGTTTGACCAATTCTGATCCAATCTGCTGGGATCAATGAACCTCCTTCCGGATACCATAAACAATGATACCTGATTTCTCTAAGTAAATCTTCTACCTGGCCCTGATTTACTTCAAAATACCCTGCCTGTCTTAACAACTTGTACAGTTCTTGTATATGCCTCAACTGCGGAACTGACATACTTAATCCCATAACTTACGATTTGTGGGAGTGAGAAAACTCACTGAAGAAGGTGCGCACCTTGTAGCTATTCCAGCGGTAAGCATGGGATGCCTGGATCTTATCACGTCGGGGTCACCAGATGTCGGGAACGCGAGAATAACCAGACGGGAGGCAGGGTGTAGAAGTGAATGATGATGATGACCTTTTATTGTTGTCTAAGCAAAGCTTATATAGGTTTTMGTGCTCTTCAGCAAAGTCTGCATAGCAACAGTGGYGGATTACATAATTGCCAAGTGATTGGTTYGACTCTTAAGGGTGAGGTAARCTACAGGTGAGGTCAGCTARAGGCGATGTCATCCTTCCTGTCTTCAAGGGTAATGTCCATATATGGTCAGTGGGGTAGGAACAGTGTATGTATCTGGGGAGTATGGCCTGTCTTTAGTCCTATGTCATGATGTCCTGTATACTTGGCCAAAATGGTGGAGCACTAGTGTCAGAGGACTGGAATCGCTATGTTCACTTGGAGGTATGGCGTGCCAATCCCTCTAGTGGTATACAGCCATTCCTGCACCTGGGGACACAATGGTTTCTTTCCTGTATAGGGGACATAATAATGTCATCGCTCCTACAATTGGGAGTAGTAGTTTCACGAGGTCTGTAACCTTCCCTGCCAAAGAGGGATTGGGACCTCACTAAACTACAAGTCCCAGGATTCCCTCGCCGTGAGCCAAGGGCAGTCAAGTGGGTGCAGGTGGCATTACGTTTAGTTCTGTTGTAGTGTTTCTCTACAGTAAAATAATAATAATTATTATTATTATTATTATTATTGGGAGTAGTAGTTTCACGAGGTCTGTAACCTTCCCTGCCAAAGAGGGATTGGGACCTCACTAAACTACAAGTCCCAGGATTCCATCGCCTTGAGCCGCGAGTAGTCCAAGTGGGGTCAGGCAGCATTAAGTTTAGTTCTGTTGTAGTGTTTCTCTATAGTAAAATAATAATAATAGTAATAATAATAATAATAATAATAATAATAATAATAATTTTCCAAAATCCTTTCGAATACAATTTGCAGAATCAATCCATAAGTACATTAAATAACAAGAGACCGTGAATCCAAGGCTGGTGACCTTTGTCACACACGAACTAGAAGCAAGAACACACTTCGAAACTTGAATATATGAATTCCAAAAACCGAGAGCGGTTCACCTGAATGCAACATTGCTCTCACAAGAATTGTACCAGCAGGAACCACTTTAAAAGGCCTCCATCCCTCCCATAACATCATTTCCCACACACCTGCTTCTCCTCTCATTACCTCTAAGCAGGAACCACTTTAAAAGGCCTCCATCCCTCCCATAACATCATTTCCCACACACCTGCTTCTCCTCTCATTACCTCTAAGCAGGACCCACTTTAAAAGGCCTCCTTCCCTCCCATAACATCATTTCCCACACACCTGCTTCTCCTCTCATTACCTCTAAGCAGGAACCACTTTAAAAGGCCTCCTTCCCTCCCATAACATCATTTCCCACACACCTGCTTCTCCTCCCCTTATCTCTAAGCCTCTGGGAAAAGCGAGTCTGTCTTTCTTGCATGCTCTGGCTCTGCAATTGCAAGTGTCTTGATCTAGATCAGACATGGGCCAACTTTGACCTTCCCTCCAGATGTTTTGGACTTCAACTCCCACAATTCCTAACAGCCGGTAGACATTTCCCTTGCTAAGGCTCAGTCAGGTTTTTCTTTCTGCAGGGAGACAAACATGAAGGTGCGCCAGGCCACCCCGGTGACATCGGAACTGAGCGACACCAGCCGGCTGGCCCACTTTGACGGTGAGCGGGTGGCCGTGACGGGTGTCCCCTTGCTGTGAGGCCACGGGGTCGTGACGGGTGTCCCTTTTTGCTCCCACAGGGGAGGTGGTCTGCGAGCCGCCCAACAACAAGCTGGACAAGTTTGGAGGGACGCTCTACTGGAAGGAGTGCAAGCACGCCTTGAGCAACCAGAACATGCTGCTGCGCGGCTGCGTCCTGCGCAACACCGAGTGGTGCTTTGGCCTGGTGGTCTTCGCAGGTGGGGAGTGGCGGGGGCTTCTCTGGTTGGGCCCCCAGGAGGGAGGTCCAGTTGCTCATTAGTGGGCATCCTGGCCCCAGGTGCATTGGCTAAAGCCTTAATGGTACCACTTTTATACTGACCCTCACCTCCACATTTTCTAATAAGGGGCCATGATGGAGGATGCCCTGCAACATGTCCGGAAGTGGCTCCAAATCCTATATATGAGAGAGAGAAATAAGGAAAGAATGCATGTATGTTTGTACCACAAAGGCTGCTGCTAGGTGAAGTGGCCCTCTGCCGTGTTCCCGGTTTGGCTGTTGCTAGGCGAAGTGACCACCTGTGATGTTACTGGGTTGGTGAAGTTGCCCTCTGTGATGTCACTGGGTTTGCTGTTGCTAGGGGAAGGGTCAGCTGTTGCTGGGTGAAGTGGCCATCTGTGAAGTTACTGGGTTGGTGAAGTGGACCCCTGAGATGTTTCTGGGTTGGCGATTGTTAGGTGAAGAGTCAGCTGTTGTTAGGTGAAGTGACCACCTGTGATGTCACTGAGTTGGCTGTTGCTAGGTGAAGTGACCACCTGTGATGTCACTAGGTTGGCTGTTGCTAGTTGAAGGGCCAGCTGTTGCTAGGTGAAGTGGCCATCTGTGATGTCATTGGATTGTCTGTTGTAGGTGAAGGGAGAGGAAGACGAGAGAGGGAGGAAGCCTATGAGGGAAAGGGGTGAAGGGAAGAAAGGGCCCCAGGAAGCGTTGGCCTTCCTCCTCAGGGCCGGAGAAGGGAGGAAGTAGCCCTTCCAGCCTTCTGGGAGAGGAGAGAGAAGTGCGCTGGGTCACTTCTGGGTCACAGGAAAGAGCCAGCTTTTATCCCAAGAGGTCACTAGAGGATCATGGGAAGGACTCAGCTGTTACCCCAAGAGGTCACTAGAAGGTCACAGGAAAGACCCAGCTGTTACCCCAAGAGGTCACTAGAAGGTCATGGGAAAGACCCAGCTGTTACCCCAAGAGGTCACTAGAAGGTCATGGGAAAGACCCAGCTGTTACCCCAAGTGGTCACTAGAGGGTTGTAGGAAAAAAGCCACACGGAGACCTAAATTATCCAAGTGTGTTCATTACCCAAGGGACAGAGAAAGTACTGCTTTGTGTTTCAGTCTGATTGCTCCTTCCTTCCTTCCTTCCTTCCTTCCTTCCTTCCTTCCTTCCTTCCCTCCCTCCCTCCCTCCCTCCCTCCCTCCTTCCTTCCTTCCTTCCTTCCTTCCTTTCCCGCAGGGCCAGACACCAAGCTGATGCAGAACAGCGGGCGCACGAAGTTCAAGCGCACGAGCATCGACCGTCTGATGAACACGCTGGTGCTCTGGGTAGGCGCCTTCCCCTTTCCCCCACAGTCCTCGGGGGAGAGACGCCGTCCTACAGATCGGCCGTACGGGTCTGGGGGGCGGTCATTTCGTGACCCAAGGTGTGCGCAAATGGCCATGGATGGATGTATGGATGGGTGCCCACCTTCACGCTGTGCCATCCCTCCAGATCTTTGGCTTCCTGGTCTGCATGGGGGTGATCCTGGCCATCGGGAACTCCATCTGGGAGCACGAGGTGGGCGCCTGCTTCCAGGTCTTCCTCCCGTGGGACGCGGCCGTCGACAGCGCCGTCTTCTCCGGCTTCCTCTCCTTCTGGTCCTACATCATCATCCTCAACACCGTCGTCCCCATCTCCCTCTACGTCAGGTAGCGCCAAACGCCTGGCGGGCACCCCTCCGATGATGGTGGTGGTGGCGAGGCCCAAAGGGTCCCTCTGGGTCAGGGAGCACCTCCAAAGAGCCCCATGTGGCCAAACACTTTGAACAGCCATGGGGTGCTGGGATTTGTAGTTTCGTGCGATTCTTGTGTCATCTTTCTCCGTCCTCTCTTCCGCCTCTCAATGGGAGTCCATGGCCTAGATGTCCCTTCACCCTCTCTGCCTGCCTTTCCCGTGATCTAGACCCCCGTTGCCCCATCTTCTGCGCCTTCCGCCCTCCCCTCTGTTCCCTCTCCCTTCCCTTTTTAATTTCTCTTTTTCTTTTGGGTTCTCCAGCATGAAATCCTCCTTTCTCTGTCTCTAATAATCCCCAGGTAAGAGCATGGCACACCCCAGTTTGTCCTCCCCTCCTGGAGTTATGTAGTTCCCTTTCTGGAGTTGTTATTGGTTCCCATTCTGGAGTTACATATTTCCCATTCTGGAGTTATTATTAGTTCCCGTTCTGGAGTTACATAGTTCCCATTCTGGAGTTATTATTAGTTCCCATTCTGGAGTTATTTAGTTTCCACTCTGAAGTTGTTATTAGTTCCCATTCTGGAATTATTTAGTTTCCACTCCGAAGTTATTATTAGTTCCCATTCTGGAGTTATTTAGTTCCCATTCCGAAGTTATTTAGTTTCCACTCTGGAGTTATTACTAGTCCGCATTCTGGAGTTACATAGTTCCCATTCTGGAGTTATTTAGTTTCCACTCTGGAGTTATTATTAGTTCGCATTCTAGAGTTACATAGTTGTCTTTCTGGAGTTATTTAGTTCCCATTCTGGAGTTATTATTAGTTCCCATTCTGGAGTTACATAGTTGTCTTTCTGGAGTTATTTAGTTCCCATTCTGGAGTTATTATTAGTTCCCATTCTGGAGTTACATAGTTCCCATTCTAGAATTATATAGTTCTCATTCTGAAGTAATTATTAGTTCCCATTCTTATGTAGTTCTCATTCTGGAGTTCTGGAATTATATAGTTTCCATTCTGAAATTATATAGTTCCCATTCTGGAGTTATTAATATTTCCCATTCTGGAGTTACTAATATTTCCCATTCTGGAGTTACATAGTTTCAACTCTGTGGTTATTATTTCCCATTCTGGAATTATATAGTTGCTATTCTGGAGTTGTTATTATTATTTCTCATTCTGGAGTCATAAAGTTCCCATTTTGGAGGTATTATTATTTCCCATTCTGGAGTTACATAGTTCCCACTCTAGAGTTGTTGTTATTTCCCATTCTGGAGTTATATAGTTCTCATTCTGGAGTTGTTATTATTATTTCTCATTCTGGAGTTATATAGTCCCCATTCTTGAGTTACATAGTTCCAATTCTGGAATTACATAGTTCACATTCTGGAGTTACATAGTTCCCACTCTGAGGTTGTTATTATTTCCCATTCTGGAGTTATTTAGTTCCCATTCAGGAGTTATTATTATTTCCCATTCTGGAGTTATATCATTCCCATTCTGGAGTTGCATAGTTCCCATTCTAGAGTTATTATTTCTCATTCTGGATTCAATTGGGGTGACCATTCTTGTGATTTGGGGGGCTTTCCAGAGCACTTTGGGAAATTTAGGTGACGTTTCCTAGCTCAGTCCCTCCCTCCTCCGGACAAGTTGGGCTGCAGCTCCCTCCTGGTAGATGGGAGTTGTAGTTGAGCAAGTCCTGGGCTGTAGGTGATGGTGGAGCCCTGACCCTCCCTGCTCTCCTTCTGGGCAGCGTGGAGGTCATCCGACTGGGCCACAGCTACTTCATCAACTGGGACAAGAAGATGTACTGCGTGAAGCGATGCACCCCGGCAGAGGCCCGGACCACCACTTTGAACGAGGAGCTGGGCCAAGTGGAGTACATCTTCTCCGACAAGACCGGCACCCTCACCCAGAACATCATGGTCTTCAGCAAGTGCTCTGTGAATGGCCGCAGCTACGGTGAGGATTCGAGTCTTCAGTACCACCCTTCGGTCTCTAGACATCCCCAAACACCGCATAGATCTTCAAACTCATGGTTGGCCACCGAGGGAAGGATCCAAGCCAAACAATTGCAACCGAACAGTATCGCTCTCCCTTGTATCTGGATCCTGCAATATTATCCTCAGTCTCTAGGTGGCAGTCTTCCCCAATCACCGCATAGGTCGTCAGTCAATATTGCATCGTGGTGCCCTGGGAGGGAGGAATCTAAGCCAAATAATTTCAAATTAATTAGCTAGTAAGCTCTAGAAACGATCAATATCTTCCCCCTCTTTTTTGAAATCTTGCAGTACCATCCTTGGTGCCTAGGTCTTCCCCAATCACCACATAGGTCGTCAGTCAATATTGTATCATGGTGGCCTGGGAGGGAAGAATCAAAGCCAAATATTGACAAATTAATTGGCTAATAGTCTCCAAAAATTATCAATATCCTCCCCCCTCTTTTTTGAAATCTTGCAGTACCATCCTCAGTCTGTAGGTGGCAGTCTTCCCCAATCACCGCATAGGTCGTCAGTCAGTATTGCATTGTGGTGATCTGGGAGGGAAGAATCTAAGCCAAATATTGACAAATTAATTGGCTACTAGTCTCCAGAAACGATCAATATCCTCCCCCTTCTTTTTTTAAATCTTGCAGTACCTTCCTTGGTGCCTAGGTGGCAGTCTTCCCCAATCACCACATAGGTTGTCAGTCAATATCGCATCACGGTGGCCTGGGAGGGAAGAATCTAAACCAAATAATTACAAATTAATTAGCTAGTAGTCTCTAGAAACGATCAATATCTTCCCCCCTCTTTTTAAAAAATCTTGCCGTACCATCCTTGGTGCCTAGGTGGCAGTCTTCCCCAATCACCACATAGGTGGTTAGTCAATATCACATCATGGTAGCCTGGGAGGGAAGAATCTAAGACAAATAATTACAGATTAATTAGCTACTAGTCTCTAGAAACAATCAGCATCTTCCCCCCTCTTTTTTTTAATCTTGCAGTACCGTCCTTGGTGCCTAGGTGGCAGTCTTCCCCAATCACCACATAGTTCTTCAGTGAATATGACGTGTTCCTTCCTCCCGTGCTGTAACTCTCCTTCTCTCTTTCTTGTTTTGCAGGTGACGTTTTGGACGTCCTGGGATACAAAGCAGAGCTCGGAGAGGTAGGAAGTGGAGGGAACCCTGGGATGCCTCGGTGGCCCCTTTCGGGCAAATGATCAGAGCTTGGAAACGTGGCTTTTGGGGGAGAAGGCCGCCATGCCCGCGAGATACGCCGTCACAACGTTGTGTGGTCATCCCTTTTTTCCAGAAGGCGGAACCGGTGGACTTCTCCTTCAACCCGCTGGCGGACCCCACCTTCACCTTTTGGGACTCGGGCCTTTTGGAGGCGGTCAAGCTGGGCGACCCCCAGGTCCACGAGTTCTTCCGCCTGCT